TGTAGTTGGATATGGTTCTAGATCTCAAAAATTTTGTTTCGATATGCAAGTGATCAAAGAAATTTGCTTTATATATTATTACCATCTATTTGAGTCGACTTAAGATTGCTTGCTTGTGGTTTAATGCGGGTCTGGTTCATTTACCTGCGAAGCGAAAAGTATGCCTTTGAACACATTACTGTTCGGACGTCGGTGTTTGGTTCCAATAATCAACCACAACCAACCAAACACAACGAAACAACAAATACAACGTAAAACGGAACAACATGAAACATGGTCTTCAACATTTCTCCTGTGCTCTTGTGTGGTTTGCCACGCAATGCAATGGGGAATATTTAGAGGGGTGTCCATCGAATCAAGGCCAATTCTAATGTTTGCAGAACCTGAACTCCCAGAACAACAACCCACAATTGAAAGGACCAAAATTAGGAACTAAAAAATTGAATAAGGGTGTGGGTTTTGCAATTTGCATAATAAAATTTGATGGGTTTGTGCTGAAAATTTGAATGGAGTTGTAGAAAACTGGGAGATTAAAAATTACAAATTTTAAAAGGGTTTGCATGTGGAACACAACATATACCTATTAAAATTTGGACCAAGAAAAACAAATAATGGATAATAGTGTTCAAATTTGAACAAAAAAAAAAAAAAAAAAAAAACTGTCCTGTTCCGTCCATGTGTTACCAAACGCAGAACGGAACATGGGTATTTTAGTCATTTTAATCTTTTGGTTCCGTTCTGTCCATGCGCTACCAAACGCAGAACGGAACAACTGGCATGTTCCGTCCTGCGCGTACCAAACACAACACAGAACATCCGTTCCGTCCCGTCCCGTCTGCGTACCAAACGCTACCATATAGAACGAAAATGTATCACCATTTCATGCATGCGAATATAAGCCTCACCAATTAATTAATTTGGACCTTTAAAATTTGATCCAACAGTTACAAAAAATGACATCTTTAAAAGTTATAATAATTTTAGCCGTTAGATCAAATTTTAAGGGTCCGAATTAATTGATTGGTGGGAGAGATCCAAGAGGATCTCTTCCCTTATTTGGTAATCCATGTGTGTCACGTTGGTTCCTTTTTCATGTTTGAACATATGTATGGACATATATAGCTACTATATTTCTTTCATGCATGCGCATTGTCTTTTTTTTTCATGGAGAACTTTGAATTTTTATGTGATTTGTCCTTGTGTTTCAGCCATACATGTCCATGAGAAGAACATTTCTTGCTCTTTCCATGATTTTCACAAAAAATAAACTCACGGAGAGCTGAGTTTTGAAACTCTTTCTAGCATTTAAAAGAGAAATATCATTAGATTAATTAAGACATCTTAGGTAAATTGATTGACCTTTAAAAATATTTGAATAATCAATTTGAACATATTTTAAGTACCTTAGAATACGATAATGCATATATACAAAGCTTTGTTATAATATAATAAGGGAGCTTAATTTTTTTTTTTTCTCTTCCTCTTAATGATGAATAGGATACCTTACCAATATTTTGTTGGCCAAATTAAGTTTCTTGTCATTTGGTTCATGATTGGAAAGCTTAGAAATTTGATGATGTGCACCTTATATTGTCAAACTGAAATTATACTTTAGGCACGCAACTTATTTAAGCTTACAATAAAGTTTATATTGTCCATACATGCCAAGAGGATCCAAAACTTCATTAATTGGGTTCAGCCAAACACTGGACCTTCTTCTACCTCCATGTGTGGATGCACTGCAACAAAGAGATAAAAGAGCTGACCAAAAACAAAAAGAAAAAAAGAAAGAGATAAAAGAGACAGACTGACGACTTTGGCAATGACAATAATGGCATCCAATCGATGTGATGATTTGATAATATGTAAATGGTCTGTATGCTACATAAGTCATACCTTTTCCCTCTCCATACATAACAGATTATGCAAATATAATATACAGATATATATATATATATATTCACTCTCTCTACTTTGAGTTTATATATATATACACTAGTACAAAAAATATTTTGCGTGACATAGGTCCTTCGTCGCACAAAGTCAAAAAAAAGTCGAGCAAAAATTTGCGCGACGAACCTTTGTCACGCGCCAAGCCTGTGAAAGCAGGGTTTGCGTGAAGAAGAAGTTGCATGCGTCGCGCAAAGTCTCTTTGTGTGACGCACAATCCTACGTCATGCAAAGTGTTTTTGCGCGACACACCATTACACTTCTTCGTCACGCAAACTTTTTTTTTTTTGGGACAAAAAAATTACGCGACGTAGGATTGTGCGTCACGCAAAGACACTTTACACGACGTATGCAACTTCTTCGTCACGCAAACTTTTTTTTTTTTTTTTGAACAAAACAATTGCGCAACGTAGGATTGTGCGTCACGCAAAGACACTTTGCGTGACCTATGCAACTTCTTCGTCACGCAAACTTTTTGTTTTTTTTTGGGACAAAAAAAGTTTTGATTTAATTTTTAATAAATATTGTAATTAAATTCTAAAAAATAAATAATAAACCAATAAAAAGTATTTGATTATAAACTATATGAAAATGTACATACAAGATGTCCGAACAAAAAAAGAAAGAACTACAATAAGTAGTCTTCTAGGTTTGATACATCAAACTACTAGGTATCAGCTGGACGAAGTGGTTGGGAGGTCGAAGGTGGAGCAAGATCAAGTGATGGCATCTGGATTTGAAGACCGGACATCACTAAGGCCTGTAGAATCATACTCATCTGGTCACCCTGGGTCCTAACCTGGGCCTTCATCTACTCGTTCTCAGCCCTCAGCTGCTCATTCTGAACCCTCATCTTCTCATTCTAGGCCTTTATCTGCTCGTCCTGGGCTACAAGCTGACCTTTTAGGGTTGTCACTTCCTCCTTCAGAGCATTGACCTCTCCTATGGTCGATCTGGAAGATGAGGCACCCGTTTCACGAACACACGCATTCCCCATGCCCCGAACAACTTTGCCATGACAACGACCGAACTTCTGATTCAGAACCTCAGTCATGATCTCAAAACCTGCATCCTCGGGTACAGTGGCGTCCTCAATCAGGGTATCCGGGGGAAGTTGAGATGTTGCTTCTTGGAGAACAATAGGGCACTTTTCCACCATAGAAGCCTGTAATAATAAAGAAAAAACATATAATGTTTAATAACAAAATATAAATAATATTTGAATGATTCATAAATATAAGAATAATAACAATTACATATACTTACATAAAGTTGCTCACTGGTCTCATCGCCAGGTTGAACGTAAACATCCTTGAACAAGTCGATCTCTGGGAACTTAGAACCCTCCTGAAGGAAAAAAAAAACATTAAGAAAACTTTATTAATCAATAATAAAAAATAAATTGTATAAAATTTCAAAAGTAATATACTTTTACCTCACGTCGTGCCTCAAGCCTATACGAAAAGGGCTTCGAACCGGAATGGTGGAGAAGTGTCCTTGACTCCCGAGCAATCTTGCCAGCAATAGATTTCTTCTGTGAAACACATAATATAGATGTTAGTGTGACGATTTGAAAGCAATTACTTTAAAATGCTTAAAAAATAACTAAAACATTAATGAATTATTATTAAAATATTATGTACATACCACAAATTTTGGGTCCATAAAATGGTTGCAGAGCCACTCCCAATCCTCTCGCCGGTCCACCAACTCGGATGGGCAACCCTGTAGGCGAGCAGTCTCCAGATCACCCTATTTCTTAAAATGCGCATGAAGATCACTCTTCCAATTTTTGTACCGGTTTGCGAAGGTCTCATCTAAGTAGGTGATGACCTCTGAGGATATGTCCTTAAAATCAAAATTGACCTACAAATATGAAAAACAACAAAATAATAGTAATAAATTTAATAATATTAAGATAGTATACTTTGGTTTATAATATTTGTAAACATAATTGAAAAAAAAATGATAAAAGGCTAAAAATTAATATACTAACCGACAACTTGTCTCGCACCAGTATCTTCGTCTCCTCGGGAATTTCTGCCCAAGATTCCCACTGCATAGGACAACAATTTTTAATAATATAACCACAGCTAGTAACGACGATACTATGTTGCTGTGAGGTAGCCGCTCCACGATGTCGCGAGTCATATGCAATCTTGATCAAGGAGGCAGACAGACGTACCATATGTGCCGCCTTCAGCATTCGATTAGCCCCCTGGTGTTTTTTTTAGTTGCCCAAAAAAACTATGGTGAAAACCCTAAGCTTAAATTCGTCGGTCTCCGTCGCGCAAACTGCCGTCGCGCAAACTGCCGTCGCGCAAACTGCCGTCGCGCGACGGAGACCGACGAAAGACTAATCATTATATATTACTGCATAACAACTTTTTACAATACAATTAATTACACTTTTAAAAAGCAGCCACGATATATCAACAACTATAAACTTATCTACAATACTCAAGGGTATGCAATCCAATAAATATTCAGTTTTCTTTGACAATTGTTCGATTAAATCTAAAAGCTCTAAGTGATGAAATATTCAATGCTCCCGAGTATTGTAGCCACACTCCTAAAATTGAAGTATCAACGATATATTAATAAGATCTTCTTCAATTCATTCGATGATCGAAAATTGAGAGAGGTGAAAAAATTATAAAATGAGTATGTGTATAGCACTACCCTTAAAATAATGCAGTTAACCACACTGTACAAAGTTCACTATATTAAGATCCTATGAGGCTATGAATGATCACTTTATACGATTAAGATTGTATGAAAATGTATAACCCTATATGAATATGACAATATAGTACTGGCAGGCTATAAATGATCACTTATACGATTAAAATTGTATGAAAATGTATAACCGTATATGAATATGACAATATAGTACTGCCAAGCAAAAGTATTATTGATCCCTGCAGAGATGGTGAAATTAGATTGCCACGCACTTACTAATTTTATCACACATTCACAAACTCACTCGCAAGTCTAAATACCACTAGCTTTAGTTGTGCCCATATATATATAAGCACAAGCGCTATACATATCCGTCAGAAGCCACCACATTCATTAGACTTCTAACAAAAGCTCTCTCTCTCTCTATCTCTCGTGCTTTCCTGCTTCGCAAGAGCTCCAAAAATGGGAGGTGGGAATGAGTATAAGAAAGGTCTTTGGACAGTGGAGGAGGACAAAATTCTGACGGATTACATCACGTTGCATGGCAAGGGCAAGTGGAATCGTGTCAATAAAGTCTCAGGTAATTAATTACCACATAATATATAATCATTTGTGTAATTAAGTTCATAACACAAACATATATATTAATGCATGTTTAACTTTGCATTAGGATTGAAGAGAAGCGGCAAAAGTTGCAGATTAAGGTGGATGAATTATCTAAGTCCCAGCGTGAAGAGAAGTGACTTCTCGGAGGAAGAAGATGATCTCATCATTCGACTCCATAACCTCCTTGGCAACAGGTTCGTCCATAACCTAGCTCTTTCTTCAAAATAATTTAGGAAACAAATTAATCTTGAAAAAAATTCAAAATAAACGAGTCTGGTAGGATGGAGGCAGTAACTTGTAATTGAAGTTCAAGCAGAAACAATTGATACGTAGTAATTTAGCATATCAACTTTACATATGCGAAAGGTTGGTGAGAATCTATGACTTCTGCATGATTAACTTGCTTCTTTCGGTCTTCAATTTTCCTGCAAAAGTTTTACTATAACTGTTGAATGTTTTTTGAGTAATCACTGTGTTGAATATTCTACCTTTCTTGGCGTTCCATTGTGGATCCCAAGTCCCAACAAATAATACTGGGAAGTGTCCACTGCAATTAATTTTTCACCACTATTTTCTGCATTTTATATATTTCTTGCAAGTATGCCAATTAACCCAAAAAAATCAAAAAGAAAAAACTTTACTTAAGAATTGAACCGAAAATACTAAACAGACAATAATTCGTATATAAATCACAGTTTAATGTCTTTTTATTATCTGCTTAGTGTTCCTCCGATTCTGTATATAGTTTCCAAGTTGATATTCGATCTTGGATGATTATTTCTTGTCTAATTAGGTGGTCTTTGATTGCTGGCCGTGTTCCTGGGAGAACCGACAATCAAGTCAAGAACCATTGGAACGGTCATTTGAGCAAGAAGCTCGGTGTCGGTTCAAAAAGAGGAAAGACAAAAGCGAAGACTTATTCCGACTCAAAACGAGCAAAAAATAATTTCTGCATGCCCTCATCAGAGTCAAACTCCGAGCTGCAACCACTTCCCAATTCCGATTCCAATTCCAAAATTTTCGGTGATCATGAAGCTGCAGCTGCCATTGATGAATTTGATGATGAGATGATGAACATCCAGGACCACATTGGCTCTACAAGTGAGGTTGGTTTTAGTGGCATGTGGGAGGCGACGATGATGAGTAATGACAAATTTTGGTTTCACAGTGATGACCTTAATCAATATAGCCCTTATTTATGGGACCCTACGCTGGATGATCACTACCCTTTTCAATTTGATAATTTGTAAACTTTGTTATTATATTTTGTATGTCTTAATTCTGTATTTACACTAATTCGATATCTAAATTATATTTTGTTAAATAGTTATGAAATACCAATTACAGTGAAAATGTTTGATGATCTGAAGATTCCATCGGCGAAATCTAATTAAAATGGGTATTGCTAAGGGGCTGTCTATTTAAACTAAATTTTGTAATCATATAACGTAATTGTTATAATTAAATTATTATTTAAATAATTAATATAATAATTTTTTATTAATGACATATCACATAATTTATAAATTTGATCTTCAAAATAGTAAAGTCATTCACATCAGGGCAATTCGACAAAACTAAATGATAGTCACAGAGTCAGAGTCCAGCAGAAGTTTCCAGTGCCTGCATAAGGTTCTGTTACAATCAGTGTTCACGTTCTGATATGTGGTCTTTTTCCAGCAACTTGTACATAAAACTACACGCATTACCTAAGTCCTGTTGTTTGATTAAGTGCTTCCATTTTTAAGCTTGACCAATAAATATATACAAATATTTAAGGTTAAGGTTAACTGCATTCTTGACGACATATCAATAACTAGACCTGTAAATAGATCAGGTTTATCGGGTTTGGGTCGGGTTCAATCCAACCCGTTAAGTTAATGGATCATCCGTTTCACCCGTTAACAATTATTATTATTATTTTTTTTGCATAGAGTTTTTTTTTTGTTGGTAAGACTTTACTGAAATTATTAAAACATCATTAACTAACAGGTGCTAACAGGGTCTAATGGGTTGACCCAAAGTGACCCGTTATTTAACGGATTCATCCGTTAGCAACTCAACCCGTTAAACATCCATCCAAATACTAATATTAACGGATCGGGTCGGGTCCAAATGTCAGGTCTACCAATAACTATATATATTGATAATTTTAAAGTTGAATTATCGACATATTTGCATTTATAAAAATTAAAATTAAAACTGCATTATAACAACAATGCAACATGTACACGAAAGATAGCCCATGTGATAAGTACTATAGAGTCATAAACATGATGTCTCCAGTTATATCAAAAATCTCTTAAACAACTAGACAAATCATGTAATAGGTATGATAACCTATAAGAGTGAAAATATATCTCCGAGTGCATGTAAAAATCTTCCCAGCAGCGAGCTTTGTGGTGGCTTATATCTTCTTTCCCATGCCAAGTGACTAAGAATTTTTGTTCGTTTACAAACTTACTGTTGATCTGAGGAAGCTAAAATGCAAGTCTCGTCTACTTCTCTTGCTTCCTTTGTGCATGTGCAAATAAAAAATATTGTAATGTTGAAATCGAACACATAGTAATTTTCTTATTTCTCTGAGATTTGCAACCCAATCAAGGTGGGTGAAGAAGATAGGTAAAAGATGGGAAATCTGTGATGGCCTACAGGAACTTTTTGTTCTGTATTACCCCAGGACCCAGGTAACAAAAGACCAAAGAGGAGGAACTGGGGACAGAGACTCTTTTTAGAGAGAGAGAGAGAGATGTTTTTACAAAGCGATAAAACCAGGCCTAGGCACCTCTTACCCAAAAAGCATGTTTTTATAAAGCGATAAAACCAGGTCTAGGCACCTCTTACCCAAAAAGCATGTTTTTATAAAGCGATAAAACCAGGTCCAGGCACCTCTTACCCAAAAAGCAAAAGGGTAGAAGATGATATGGGCAAGTGGGCTTGCCTTTCAGCTTTTGACCTCGTCAATTTTTTGTCCTCAATCGTATTTAGGGTTTTAGGGAAACCCTACTAAAGCTCCCCTCTTGGAAAATACCTGTTGGATGGGTTTGAATCGTTACCTCCACAACATTTAAATAATTGATCTTTTGAAGGATGGAAAAATTTGCTTTCCTTCTGTCTACTTGAATGTCACTTCCCTTTCAACAACAAAATTATTGGATTGAAAAATAGTACATAATAGAACTGTGTCTTGTATACATTGTATTTGCTTTCTAAATAAGGTTTATTTTAGAATCTAACTTGTCTATACGTAGGAATATTTCTTGATTCCTAAAGAGAACGATATATCGCTTTTGATGTATCTTTAATAAAACTTTATACTTATGATAACTCAATCTAATAATTTTTAATGATGTATTTAAATCCTAGTTGAGAACGATATGAATTCGTAAGTGCGAAAATCCTTGGTAAAAAAGAAATGATATTGTTGCTATATATAGTAGAACTCGTGCATCTCTTAAGTCATCATCTGGGGAATCTCAATACTGAAAAAGCTCTATTTTAAAAACCGATTGAAAAACGCTGTCATAATTTGCAGTATGCTGTAAAATAGGATTAATTGGCACACGCTACAAATGATTAACGAAATGCAGAGATATAAGGCACCTGCATGCCTTTCAAGCCTCCCAAAGCTGCAACGAACATGGATATAGGGAAAGAGAGTAGGGTTTGTAATCGAATCTCTGTACTCCCCTCCCCTACCAACTAGTCACGACTCACAAGTCACAGCACAAGGTGCATCACGGATGCAAAGACTTTCCTAGCTAACTAGTTCTAAACAAAAATATTCTATTTATTCGAAATTGGCGCAACTTTGATACATATTATATATTCATGCAAATACTTGAAGAACATGTTTACTCAACATAAATGGGGAAGGAACCGAAGGGTCTAGAAAAAGATGAAGTACCAAAGAAAGAAATCAAATCAATTAGGTTTTCTTTTTAAGATGAAACTCACACTTTTCCGAAAAGTTAAGAAGTAAAATGATTTTTCTACTCATTTTCAATAAACCCAGAAAACTCAAAAATTAAGATGATTATAAATTCCAATTCTAACATATAAGTAAACATTCAAAAGTATCTTGTTTGGTTGGTTCTTAATTGATAATTAACTCGTGGTATGGGTTTCGACAGAGATATGGGTTTTAGTCGAATGTTTAGTGGCATTACAACAAGACGTGTGACATGCTCCATGATGCAAACAAGGATTCTAGTTTCAAGCAGTCCAAGCCAATTGTTAAGTCTCAATGTTTTTCGTGTTTAATATTGTCTGTTTGCAAATTGAAGGACCCACCTTTAGGTACGGGAGTAGAATTCTCTCCTTTATGAATCTCTTCCCTTTTCGTCCCCTCCTCTCATATTTTTCTTTTTGTTTTAACTCTCTAAAAAGATATCAATATAAGATGCTAACGTGGTTTGATCATAACCGTTTAAATAGGAGGAGAAGAAATGGAAGAGAGATTAAGAGGGGAGATCATCCTACTCTTTAGGCACACAGACAACTACTGGAAATCAAGTTAACACCGTCACAAAAACCTGATATTTTTTATTTGACCCGAGTTTGTCAATTGTTTGTATAACTTTGGTTGTATATTTTCTTGTAGCAATGGACAAGTGAAGACATCGTCAAATGCTCAGGCACCAAATACAACTCAAACTTTGCAGCTTTCTCCCACTAAAGCAATTTCCCCCGTACACACTAGGGTATAGATTCCGCTGGTCTGATACATTGTCAATTTTTTGCCCTCAGTCATATTTTAGGGTTTTAGGGGAACCCTACTAAAGGTCCCCTCTCGGAAAATAGCTGTTGGATGGGTTTGAATTGCTATCCCCACAACATGTAAATATTGATCTTTTGATGATGTAAAAAGTTGCTTTCCTTTTGCCTACTTGAAAGTTAACAGTGTTAACCTTCAACCTTTGATGAACATCAATGGAGTCTTTTATGTATTCTTAGAGAAAGAAAGAGAAGAAATTAGAGAGAGAAAGAGAGAGAGCTGAATTGTTCTTTCTTGTATTCAAAGGATGATTTTACAGTACATCATACAAGTATACATAGTCTAACTTTACTTGCTCACCAAGGAATCTTTCCTTACATATTAAGTAATCTTCTACTAACTGTTTTAACTACCTTAATAGATTATAACAAACTTATTCCTCCATCTATTTACACTTGTCATGATTCAAGAGCTTTATATCTTCACATCCCCCCTCAATCATATGCTTGGAGGAACCAAGCATAAGATTGGAACAATGGTGCTGAAACAAAGGTGCTGACAGTCCCTTTGTTAATATATCTGCAAACTGCTTTTTGGACGAGACATGAACAACATGGAGATCACCTCGAATGACCCGTTCCCGTACAAGATGATAATCGATCTCGATATGTTTCCCTCGAGAATGAAAGACTGGATTAGAGGATAGTGCAATCACTGAGATGTTGTCGCAATAAAGTACTGGAGCTGTGAATATTGGAACACATAAATCACACAATAACTGCCTTGTCCATGCTAACTTAGCAGCTACAATGGCAAGGGCCCTATATTCTGCCTCTGTAGATAACCTAGAGACAGTATGTTACTTCTTAGATGCCCACGATATAGGATTCGAACCAAGGTATACAATGTGACCAGAAGTACACCATCGATCATTTGGGTCACCTACCCAATCAGCATCACTATAAGCTTGCAGTTGTAACTTGCCAGGTTTGAATTGAAGACCATAATCCAAAGTGCCATTCATATATCGTAAAATACGTTTGACTGCCACAACATGGGAGTCGAGTGGGTTATGCATGAACTGACAACACTGATTAACAGAAAATGCAATATCAGGTCGTGTAAACGTTAGATATTGCAGTGCTCCCATGATACTTCGATACTGTTGTGGACTATGATAAGGAGTACCCTCAGTTTTAGACAATCTGTGATAAGGCAAACATGGTGTCGCACAAGGTTTGGAATCCTACAGATTAACTTTTGCTAGGAGGTCCTTGATATATTTGGTTTGACACACAAACAAACCATCAGGTTGGTATATAATCTGCAACCCTGAGAAATAATGCAACTGGCCCAAGTCCTTCATTTCAAACTCTTTAGTGAGAGCTTGAACAACTTTATCAATCAACTGTGATGAACTGCTAGTGAGAATTATATCATCCACATATAAGAGAGGAACAACCATGCCAAGATGAGTGTGTTGCACAAACAATGATGGATCTACAAGAGAAGCTTTAAACCCCAAACTTGGTAAGAAACTTGTAAACTTCTTGTTCCAAGCTCAAGGAACTTGTTTTAAACCATAGAGGGACTTATTTAGTTTGCAAACATAATGAGGGGGATGAACTGAACTTTC